TTGTCTCACCTTTACAAACAGAAGAGTGGGTCCTAGATCCAGAATAGAAAACGGAAATATTCAAACAGCAGTCATCTATAACAAGTTCTTAGTTTTTCACCGCCCCTAAATAAATCTGGCTTTATGCATGATGTATTACAATTAAACCCACCACTCTGTTTAATAAACTTTTCCCCGCTCAGTGACAACATTCAGGTACCAACTACTTAACAGAGGTAATGTTTGTAAACTGGTGTCTGCAGAAATAGCATGCTATTGTCAGTATAAGACCTCAGTTTTCAGACAGGACTACACCTCTGTCCACAAGTTAGAGAAAAACTGTGTGTCGCTTCCAGGCGAGAATTCATTTCATCGCTCTCCGTCACTTGTTTAGAGCGAAAACAGCACATCAAAAATGACATCAGATCCCTGTTAACGGGAATCAGTCCATCCCGCGCCTCCGACCCCGAGCACCCGATCGCCCCCGCCTCAAAGTGAAGGAAGGGCCTGGAGCCGAACCCACAGCGGCGGGGGCGTCCGGGGGCTCCCCAATAAGGAGAAAAGCACTTCGTCCAGACGAAGCGCATCACACACAGCGGGGAGAGAAACGAAAAATCCGGGGGCCCCAGAAGCCAATCCACGCCGCCGGCGCCCCACGGCCAGGCCGGGCGCAGATGCCAACCCACCGTGCGGGCACAGCGGGGCCGGGGCGGCGGGATCGGAGGGACACGCCACCTCCACTCCCGAGCTCCTCGAGCGCCCCGCGATCCCCTCCGCCTTGGGGGTTTCATGTTGTTCCCTGGGGGCCGCCATCTTCCCGCCGCCTTCCCGAAAGCCTCAGCCCCGACCAAGCAGGCCAGGAAAGAGCACCGAGCGACCCCCAAAGCGAACCACAGCGCCCCCGCGCGCCTCGGAGGACCTGCGGCCGCAGCGGCAGAGGCCACGCCCCGGCAGCCCTTCAGCGGCCCCTAGCGGTGGGGCTCGGCGGCTTCACATGGGTTCTGACTTGGGTTCGCCTGTTTCTGCCTCTGGACTGGGCAGACATTCTCCCCTCACAGGAGAAAACCAAAAGAGATGAGGCTTCCGAGCAGTTTGGTCACTTTGGAGATGCAAAGCAGCAGCAGCAGGAGCAGCTGACAAAGTGCTGAGAGAATCGCTGAGATAGCTGCGCTTGCTGGGAAGACCCATGTTTTTCAAAGTCATGGTCCCTGTACTTGCATGGGCATTCGCACAGCGGAGGCGTCGGGGGCAGGGGGGCGCTGTCTCTGTCTGCCAACGACAGATTGTCTACTTAAAATCCCGAGGGCTGGCGTGTTTTTGACCCTCCAGATCGTTTTTATTCGGAAGATTTCTTTAAATATCGTAAATGTCAGTATAACACAAAGGAAATGTTCCTAAACCAGGAATCAGACACCTGGCAGCCAGTACGTCCTGTGAGTGAGTCACCATGCTCATGTTACTCTCTCGACCCTTATTTTCAGTTTGTGTTTTGTTTTGTTTACATTCCATCTTGCAACCTCTGTCGCGCATACAATGTGGTTTTCCAAACTATGCATGTAACACATACACATGGATGAGGTTTTCAACGGAGAACTGTACATTCTTGTGTCCAGCGTTTCTTCCCTTTGCTCCTCCTGTCCTCCGTCTACCATCTGGTCTCATCCCTTACAGTCTCTGGTATCTACACTGGTCCCCCCTACGATCGGGTCTTTAGATCTTTCAATGCCTGCCACAGCCATTTAGTACAAACGAATGGGGATATACAGTGTGTGTCTTTCAAAGTCTGGCTTGCTTTGCTTAGTATTAATCTTCTATATTCACTCACTGTGAATCAAATGACAGGGTCTATTGTTCCTAACAGCTAAGTAGGACTCCATAGCGTGTAAGTACCGCAGTTTTTTCACCCAGTCCATTGGTCATTGGGCACTTAGGTTGATTCATGCCATTGCAATTGTGAATAATGGTGCAATGAACACAGATGTGCAAGTGTCTTCCCGACTGAGTGTTTTCCTATCCTTTGGGTAAGTAGCATGAAGTGGGATTACTGAGTCATATGATAGTTCTATTTGCAGGTTTTCGAGAAGCCTTGTTATGTTTTCCAAAGTGACTGTACTAATTTACATTCCCACCAACGGTGCAGGAGGGTTTTCTTTCACCACAACCTAGCCAGCACTTATCATTCATTACATATGGATTTAGTGCAAATTTTATCGAAATCCTATTCTAGTTCATTTCCTCAGTCAGAGTCAACGGCTGTTTGCTGTTTGGACTGTGATCCTCAACCAGTTATTTTTAATTATTATCTTTTAAATCGGACCAGAGAGAGACACAGAAAGAGAAAGGGAAAGTGAGAGGGCAAGCCAGGACTCCAACAGCGGTCAGCTGCTCCACCTCAGTGACAACCCATCCTGAGCTGCAGACCGAAACCCAAAGGTACTCTTCGCTCTGCAGACATGTTGGGGGGCTGCCCCCATAGGACAGCCTTGAGCTGGAGAGGCAGAGAATTACGCAGCTCCAGCTCTTCACCAACAGACTAGGCCGCTCCTGCAGCCAAATCTAAAGTGCTCAGAGTCCAGCCAGGGCTGCTGTCCCCCTGGTTTAAACCAGTCCTTTGGTGTAAATGCAGTTCTTGATTACCTTTTAAGGACCGCAATTGAAAACAAACCTTTGAACAGAGGAACAGCGTTCCGGATGGTTCCCAAAGCCCCTGAGATAAAGGGAGTCTTGTTCACTCAGGGCTGGTGTGGGCCTTACGCATCTGGTCAAACCAGTTCCTTCCCTCTGGTCCACCTAGATGTTTGCAGGGCTTTCCGGCTCTTGGGGAAGGCAGGTTACCTGATTCTTTTCTATGACTTCTGCAGCCTCGGTCCTTTTTGGAGGCTTAACTGCTGGGAGGATTGTGTAACCGGAGGTTCTGGAGCAGGCCGGGCTCAGGAAGTCAAAGGAAAAACAAACAGCTCTCTGCTTACAGAGATTAGCTGCTGCTTTTTGAAATCACGTGCTCGCGACTCCCAGACCTAAACGGCCCATAAAGCAGCCTGCAGGAGTGCGGGCACTGCCAGCCAGGTGTCAGGATTCTGAACAACGGGGAGTTCTCTTCCCAGTGACCTCAGGCGCCTTCTCCTCTCTGTCCCAGATTAACCCCACATGTGCCACGTAAGACAACTCTGAAATAGCTTTGCGTTTTGACTTTGTCGCCGCGCTCCAAGGAAGAGAGCCAGTCTAGAAATCTGATGGGCACGAGCGCCCTTCCTGCAGTCATGCGAACCCGTAAATACAGACGTACACCACCTTCGCCCCGAGTCGAGAGTGCCGTGAATATGCACAGGTAACCGCTCGGGTGGAAACGGGGACTGTCAACAATAGCTTTCTATTTTTTATTTTAGAGAGAGAGATTTTTGCTATAGGGTACGTGTGCTCTCCAGGAAGAGAGGGACAGAAAGAAAGCGAGAAGTCACCCTCTCCAATCCCCAGGAGTGGGGGCAATGGCCATGCCACCATCCCCTTCCCCTCCATCCTCCTCTTGGGATTTTGGGTATGCATGCACAGGGGTCCAGCGTGGGTTTCAGGCCGCTGGGTCCGGGATTAAAACCGCGGACGGCTATGTGGGAGTCCAGTGACAAAACCATTGCGCCCTCTGCTGGCCTCACAAATAGCACTCTTACTGCATTTTCCACAAGGCATCCTCAGTTCACAGTGGTGCCAACCTCTGAAGTAACCGTCAGCTCGTGTACTTTACATGTGAAGAGCTGGCCAGGGAGGTCGAAGATCTACCCAAGGTCATGGACCCACAAAGGGGCAGGGCCAGGACTCAAACTCTGGTCCGAATTCCAAACCCCAAACTCGAGAGGACTATCGCGGAAGAAGGGCACTTCCTTTGCATTTCTTGTGGTGGTTCTCATTTTAGTTTCTGCTACAGGGTGCATGCGTTTGCTAGAGACAAGTGAACACGGAGTGGAGAGGGGGAAAGTGAGACAGCACCTCCTACGGGGGAAGGCTGCACCTCAGTCCCTTCTCCATGCTCCCCTAGGGACTGGTGAGCATGCCCACACACACCCACAGTGTTTTCTTTTCTTTTTATAACAAAGTTAGATAAGTTTTAAAGAATTATTTTATTTAACTTTATTATCATTCGTATTACTTTCCACTTTGATAAAAGGGGTGGGGGCGGAAAGCAAGCCACCAGGTCCAGGACTCAAACTGTCATGTGCCTTTAACCACCATGCCACCTGCCGGCCCTGACATGCAGCGTATTTCCATGTGGGATCCAGCTGCCTTAACCCCTCCTGGGATTCTGTTCTGGCAGCCCTAATAAAAGTACAAACAGGCAGGCCGGCAAACGTGCTTCCACGGAAAAGCTGCTTTTTAATATTAAATGAAATCACAGAAACAAGTGGGAAGAAACAGAGGGACATGGTCCCCACTGCCACTGGAGGGCTCCCGCTGGGGCCGAGGACAGCGGCACATTCCAGGTTCTTTGGTGCTCGTCATCACGAGCCTCCGTTATTTTCTCTGCCTGTTTCCATCCGCTCTCCGTGCTCCTGATGGCTTCCCCCAGCTCTCACAAGCTTGGATTCCTGGGGATGCTCGATCCCCCTTTTTAGGAAGAAGGATATCACTCTGTTTTCTTGTCTGGCTACCCTAGTTGCTGTATGTATGCGGATTTGGGGACATCAAAACCTACCTGTTATGGCTGGGACACCCCGTCCCGTGAACTG